CAGCCCTGTCATCTTTCGTTCATCAATGCGTTTTACCCATTCTACTTTATTGCTCTCCTGTAGTGTTCCCCGGTCTTTTAAAATGCAACTTCAAAACAATTTGCCGTGGTTTGGTGATATTCAGTCGTGCATCACTAATCCCAATTGATTTGTTAATAACAGAACTCATTGATGGGCATATCAACTGTTCTTTTGAATTTGCTCACAAGATTCTAGATGACCCTCTTCACCCACTACGCACTGATCTATCGTCTTGTCGTTCCCATCCGTCCACACGCTCCTCATTTCGACAGCTACCCTCTCGTATTACCATTTATAAAAATTCCCTTGTAACCCACCTGGCCCGACTACTCACCAAAAAGGAACAGGTCTCAAATGAACTACGTCAAATGCTTTGTACATGATACGTATATCACCGACCTTGTTTATCTTTTGTTTTGATTATTTTTATTTCATTCTGCGCGACGAACAGTGTACATTTTTAACTGAAATTTAAGCATATGTGCCTACACAAGTTACACAAATACAAATACAAATACCAACTATAAGTTAGCTGCCTTGAAAGTGGTTGTCATTGGCAAGCGTGTGGCATGTATTTAGAGGAAACTGTTGAACAGTCAACTGCGTAGACTCAATGCCAAAGCAACTGCCCCTAGTGCTGAAAAATGCAGAACGGCAAATAAAACATGGACGAGGTGAAATTGGAATAGCTGTATGAAGTCCACTGATTATTTTGATCAATGAATTCCATTTGTGTTTCTTACTATTGTTTTGTTATTTTACAACTGATTCACCAGCAACCATCGCGTCCAAATCGAGAAATCGTTCATTTGAATGATATAATCGGTTGATCCAAGCAAAGAGATAAGTAGATATTCTATCAGATATGTTGCGCCTGATGTGAAGTAATATCATTTTCAATCCCCTTGAATGAGGCTCGAAGCACAAAGCGTGGGATGAACAAATTTGATGAAAGTGTCTAGGTGGTTGGTGTTGCACGATTTTGGTTTCAACGTATCAGTAGTCAAATTAAAAGATGAATTTAATGAAACGGTTTGCATTGATCAACAAAGACAATAACGACAACAGTGGTTCTGCAATTCATGGATTGAGTGCACCCATTTTTTAATACACACATCTCTATATGATGATGGGACGAACCCGCAAAATCACGAGGATCTGCTTCTGTTCGGTGATGAACCCTGAGACCCGAGAATCGAAGTGGTGAACCACATAAGACCCCATTTAGTTATTGAACCGGATGAAAGTAAGGCTGTCTACCGCCAAAGTTGGGTAGCCACGGTGGGGCTCAAACCTTGGACCCTTAGGGACCAAAGCGATTAAACCACTGTGCTACCACCAAACCGGCTGGAGGAAAAGTAACAATGCAATCGGGATTGGTTAGTTGTCTAAAAACTGTACTGCGTAGTCGTTTCACTGGCGTTACTTGGGAATCCTGACTCATCACAGATGTCCAGAAACTGTAACGTGTCGTCCCGTGGTTTGCTTCATCCCATAAGCTAGGATCATCATGAACATGGGCTTCGGTCATGCATGCAGTTCCCGGATGAGGACATCCGGATCAGAGTAACCGATCGTGATAAATACACTGAGTTATATCTTTTAAATATTAGCTTAATCATACTTAAACACACTTTCACCTTGAAAATGTTTCAACACTGCAGTCTTCCCGTTACTTCTTTCAAAAGATGGAAACCAAACCCAGAGCACGTGACCGCCTGGGTCATGGTTGTATAAACGGAATGAAAAAATGGCGTGACTGAGCTACTGCACAGGGCTTCCACTTTGAACTTGTTCTTGTAAATGAATAAAACAAATCTTATGGTCTATTCGTTCATATTGCTTAACGAAATTTCAAAGCAAGAAAAAACACTGCCTTACTGGAGCACATTTTTGAAGTAAAATTATTCTGATTCGCGGAGACCCGTTGACCAGTAAGTACCAGAACCCGATCGGGCAGGGGATTATTCACCCATGCGTTATGGTAGACCGATCTAAATTTTATCTTTATCTTTCCACATCCCCTATATTTGAATCCGTATCTAGAATCGGACAGAATTAGAAAACCGAGATACGCCGCAGGATCGTGCCCAATCTGTCCGCTCACAACTACATCGCGCATTTGATGACAATGTGCTCGAGGGTATCTCGCATGCGCTGGAGGAGCATCGGAACTATGCCATGCTCGGGTATCATCATGGCTCGGTTAGTGAATACATGGCCAGTTTGAAAGCGAGTATTTATGGGAAGAAAAGTCGAGCTTCGAATACTGTGCGATCCACTTGTAAGCGGCTTCATTTTTCTTTGTGAAATAATATGCATTTTGAATTTTAACACTTTTAATTAAGTAACTAGTAAGCAATTTAGTAATTAGTAACCAAAAGGACACAAACGTTTACTCCCCCCCCCCCCCCCCACCCCAGATATCCCCATTTTTTCAACGTCCTTAATGGCTGAGGTGAAATCAGCTGAACGGAAGTTTACACGGTCGACAAAAGTTACCAAAAACATAGAACAACAATAGGCCACTGGACTGATAGTTTTGGCAATTTTTGGGAACGTAAATTGTGACCATCCGAGAAATTTTTGAAAGACATAAGAATGGGTCAACTGTGAGTTTTGTGACCATGAACTTGCTTCACAAAAGTTGGCTCCTGGTTCATTACAACGGTGTATGTATTTTACACACGTCTGACGCCAGACTGTGAGCCAAACCAATCACTGTGCAATAATATTTATAACAAAAAGAAACAAATTCATGATTTCCTCGACGGGGTACGATACTGGTAGGTTGTCCAGGTCAAGGTGGGTGAATTTCCTGGAGGGAGTTCACAACCGTAGCTTTCGGCTACCCAAAGCCTAATATGAAAGGTGGCAGGCGGTGTGTGAAAACCGCAATCCAGTTCATCGGATCATACACACTGCAAACGGGGTCAGACGTCCCAGGTACCCAATGCACCTCGATGCTCAATCGGGGCGGTGACCAATAGCACTACCAGGAAGGTGTGTGCGTGGTTCGTACGCCTCCTCTTGGTTGGTTTGGAATCACGACTATTAACCAACTCTCCTAGGTGAACTGTCAGTGGTTCACTAATCCCTCTATAGCCCCGGATTTTAGCTCCTCATCCACTCACTTTGGTGGAAAAACACCCCTGGCCCATGACAAGGCCGCAATGATTTGGACTTCCTCAGCAGAGACAATTTGAGACACTTGGTCTTATGGGAGCTTAGTCGTGAGGTGCAAGGGAGGGGTGACCAGTCACCCAGGCCCACTCACGTCCCCGACCGTGCTGAGGCTTTCGGAGGTAACGGCCAGACAGTCTGTGGTCAGTTGCGTCATCAACTTCGTCAACTTTTTTGGAATGTTTGATCATCCGTTACGTTGACATGCGATTTGTTCTGTAGGGATATGCTTCACCCCGACAGCTTAGCTGTTCTTACTCAGTTCGCATCGCGTGGTCCGGTGTCGTATTTCCGTGGTCACACATTCAAATTAACCAATGAAGATCTGAATAGTTGCGTCATATAAAATCAACTTGTTCAGTTACAACAGTTGGAATGAAGTTCAATGTGCTTTGTAGGTTTCGTAGTATAATTAACAATTAGTTCAGTGTCAGTTTGCTCAGCACGAACATTGCTCTCTCTCGTCCGCTATTTCTGGTTCTTCTCCCTAACGGTTATCCGTTGATTTGAATAATGACAGACTAATAAAAAAACTGGAGAAGCGGAACACTGAAGGCAGTATTTGGGCGGAGATAGAGAATCAAAAAAGACCTTAATTTGAGCGGTAATTGTTAATTAGTGAACTGAGCGTTTGCTTTCTCTCCTCCCTATTTGAACTGGCGTTTATGCGACCGTTACATTGCACAACTCCGGTGAGTGAATCATACAAGTAATGCTGTGGTTAGGAGCAGAGCTTTGGGACAGTCGCGTTCACCCATCGGATTACATGGTGGATTACCGTAGAGTACGTGGGTGTGTGAAGGTGTCGCATATACTGATTTATAGATTGCCACGACGCACGTTGTTTGCCTATATGGGTCATGGATGGAAAGTGGATCGAACTCAGACTTGATATGCGGCTATGAAAACCTTGGCCATGTGATACGGTCATACAGGTCGCGTTTCGCTTCCTGGATGGGAAACTCAGGATCATAGTGATCTATGGTTACAAACACTGAGTGATATGGCTGAGTGTTGCAAAAGTTGGCGCTTTCCAACTTTCGAGGTCAAATAATTATAGCAAAGGGATAGGGTAGGGACACGTTTGTCTCTAGTTCTCTAGTTCCGATAAGAACGCGTTATTGGAGCGTTGACGATCGATTTAAGTTATCACAACCCTCATGCGTGGTGTTGTTCGCTTTGAGTAAGGGAGGTTTAAGTGCCTGAAAAAGTGTTTTCGAACACAGTTCTGACTTTAAGAAGCAGATGAAAGTTGCTAGCGTTTTAATTCAAACAGCCTTATATCTGTATTGTGGAACGGGATGAATGGTAGTGAGAGCCGAATTAGCATCCACCTTATGCCCAACTCTCACCTTTGTGAATTCCCTATTCCCCTCTTGACACTGATTAGAACACTCCAATTTTCCTTCTATTCCTTCATCCAGATGGGATACCAAAATACCGCGACAACACCGCAGTACAAAGGTGAATGGTTCACGGTAGTAAACATTGAAAAATGAAACTGAATCATGAATGCATCATCGTTTGTCTTGGAGTAAACGGAAGTTTACACAGTTGTGGAAAATTGGGTCAGTGCGGGAACCAGTTGGGAGCAAGTAGGATTCCGAGAAGTGAGCCCCAGAAAGTGAGGATAGAGTTGGGCAAGTTCCGACTGATTCCAGCGCGGAGTACAACTCAAGCCTCCAAACTCTTGCACAACGTGATCCTCGAAGTGGAAAAAAACTAGATAACCAAATAAAATAATGGGTTTTGTTTTTGGAAGTATGAAAGCTATGAAAATATTTTAATTGCGACAAATGTTTGTTTGGAAAGTTTGTCTTCTTGTCTTTGCGTTTGCTGTTTCCTCAGTAGCAGCAAACAATCCCGCCCAGGGGACAAATATGTCCGGTCCCGGCGAAGTTTGCTCTTTGGAAGGAGCACTGGGTTCTTTTATAAACAATTTACCGAATGATTTTGAATGCACCGTTTTCTCCTGCACATACAGCTACCCGACATACAACTCAGAAATTGAACACGGAAAAGTCGTGTCAGGTAGGGCGGATTATTTCTTTGATTATTGCGGCGTAATATGTTCCATTGTTTTTTTAGAAACCTCGTTCATTTGTGGATTACTTAATTGAACATTATGTGGTAAGTTGTATGGTGAGCAAGTGAGTAATGTTGATAAATGAATCACCGTAAATCGATAGATCAATGTACAGTTATAAAAGACTCTAATGCCTAATTATGTCTGTCATTAGTCTGGTTATTTGTTCGTTATTCAACAACCAAAGAACTACTACTCTATGAAATATTTCATGATTCTATGACACGTTTTCAAATTCAGGTCAATCCCATGTAAATTCAGCTGAATGCACCAATCGCATTCTAACGGGTATCCATCAAACTGACTGATGAATCTCTCGTTATACCACATCTATTGGATTGAATCCGTCCAAACACCCTTCCAGTGGTGGTGAACTAATTTCTCCATAAACTAATAAACGAACTCTTTGGGTAAGTTACTGCGCCAGGATGAGGAACGTGCCGGAGCGCGGTTCAACTCTTTGGATCTATGCCCACCCCCGGGGAATTTTATGCTCCTTACGACTTAACGTAGGCGAATGAATTCAGACCGACCAATGCATCACATGATGTCAATCATAATTTACTACTCACAAGTAGTCTAAAAATGTATCGTTAATAAAGCGCTCCGAGGTATCTATGGAAAGTGACGTTCGAGGGGGGTATTTTATCCGATTCAAGTAAAACCAAACGTGAGATGCAGATACTTAAAGCACAGTATATCTATATCGTTGTTTAGGCCCCACGGTTGACATCGTTGATGATGCAAGGATGCAAAAGGTCACTTCTAGCTTTGCGTAAGTATATTGGGTCGGTGCGACAAACGATTAAAGCGCATCACCCAATTTTGCTTCACTAAAGTACATATCCTTTGCGGAATAACGTTTACTGATGAAGAGAGATTTGATACAAGGAATATTATGAACCTGGAAAGCTCCACGGTAAAATATATCTGTTGCTGATCATCGTTCAGCTGAACGCCAAATCCGATTTCACCTACAAAGGAAAATATACACACTAAGGAAGGAAATAATGAACAAAAAAAGGTATACCTGCTGCAAGCCGGCCCGAAGTATAGGTGCGCAATGAAAAGCAAAACCGTTTACGATGTATCAAAATACACTCGTTGCTACTCAACTATAACTAACGATAATCATAACTATAGTTATTCCAGACGCAAAACAAGAAAAAAGTAAGATAACCAACGGTTGGATAGTTACCAAGCTATCGATCCTGATAACCAAGGAAAAACTGCACCTGATCATACAAAGAAACTACACAACGTGTAATGGTTACGAGCTCCTCTATAGAGCAGTACGAAATGGCATGATGCATGCGAACGGTGCATGATATTTGCGAGTGAAGCAGAGCAGATTAGAAAAGGGAAATGATGTAAGCATTTATTCAAGCGGGTAGCATNATGAGATTGGAATAGACAATGAAAAAATCCTGGCGGTAGGTTGCGTGAAAAACGTATACAAACAAACTTACCACGAACCATGGTTTTCGGTCATGTGTATCACCAAAAGACAGTGAGGTATGTGGGCAAGTGGAGGCTGGATAGTGAAATGAAGGTTAAACATGAAGCCAAACTTTTGGTGTGTGCAGAAACTGTTCCGCGTTCGGGCACAATACTGGCAGTTTTTTCATGTCAGCCTTTAAGTAGTTAGTATTCTCAAACGGAGCGTCCGTTCATTTATTCATTTCAAAGCAGTTTACACAGTTTTTTCCAAATGTTCGGAGTCAGAGCCTAACTGTTCCTGGTTCACAAACCGGAACATAAATTTGCAAGCTAATAAAGATATATTCCAAGCAGATGGTTAAAGATATTCTATCTATGAGAGACAGAGAGCGTTTCCTCGGAAAAGATAGCCGGCGATCCTGCTGGACCAGTGAACTTATTACACTTTGAGTTAGCTTTTCTCCAGTGCTGACCTTACCGATAAACCATTACTGCTGATTGGACTTAACCAGGTGAAAAAACATTTCCCTTGCTTTGTACACGACAAAATTGACTGCACATATACTCGAATCAAATCTTCCATGATTCCCATGTAAATGTGTATCAAGAGATCAACTGACCAATTTTGAAGTTCCCGGTGTCTTTTACGGTGCCTTATACTAAAAATGCTTAACTTGTTACGTGACTCTCCTACCTTCGGTTAGAATACACTTGTTACCTTTGTGTTTCAGATAGTCACGAATATTTTTGATATTTCAGATTGAACGTCAAACTGATTGTCCAATCGTGTCCGACGAGGAGTTGGTTCGTGTGAG